TTAATGTTTAAGCCATTGCTTAAAATACATACAGGAAAGAATTCCATTAGTTTTCCTTTTTCACTTGGAACTTTTGCAAAAAACTTCGGGATTTCAAAAAAAATACCAACGCTCTTTCCATCAAGATTTAAAGAATCTGATAAATCACCATGTTCATTAAAAATTTTGTTTATTGTCATTTTCAAATTATTCTGCAATGTTGTCACTGGTACGTCAACAAGTTTAGAAAATTCCCATAGCAACTAAAAAAATTTATATACAAATTATAAATGAAAATATCTATTACACATAATGACATTTATTTTATATGGAAATTTTCAAATAATTTTTTTATTATCTCAGATAGAATAAATGTAAAAAGAATATTACCATCTCTTTAATTTTTAATGCTGGGTACATGTTAAAAATTTCGGTTGCACTCTTTTTTTACATGTTTCCTTTCGAATGATTCTTGTTTCGTTTAAATAAGTTTGCAATTTTTTAATATTCGGTCGGTTGTCTTGAGAACCTACTTCCTTGCACATTTCTTGGCAAATAACATTATGCGCTGCCAGCGCTTCATCTTCCTTATGAACTTTAACTTCCTTCGATTTTAAATGCTTTAAGCATGCCATCATTCTTGCCTCAGTCTGAATCTGTATTGAAATATAAAATTGAAATGATTTTGTATAAAATTATATTACACTATTTGTCACAATTATATTTGAAGGTTAAAAAGAATAATATTTCATCCTGATATTAGGAACATATACTTACATGCCCAGATCCGTACGGACCTTTAAGAAACGGTATGGAGTCAAAAGTTCCAAAACAAAAGTTCCAATTCCGTAGGACCTAAATTATTATTTTCCCAAATGACATTTTTTCCAAAGTATTATTTTTCCAAAGGCCATTTTTACCAAAGTATTATTTTTTCAATAGTCCAAACATTGTTTTTTTTTATTTTTCTAATTTCAAAGTGCAACTTTAAGTCAGGAAACGTTCAGTTGTTATTATCGTTGTTATTTTCATAAATTGTCATTCAACGTGTGCTCATTCCAAAATTATATTGTGAAATTAAAATTTTTTTTCAAATTAAAAAATAGTAAATAGTAAAATTATATTAAATTGCAAATTAGTGAAATTAAAAATTTCATTTAAACTATAAAATAGTGAACAGTGCAATTATATTAAATTGTACATTTTAATTATGGCAGAATTAATACAAGTCAAAAAAAAATTATTTACATATCGAAGGATTTCTGTATTACAAGCATTCAGATGGAAAAAATAATGTGAAATATTGAAGATGCTTTATTTTTTTAAACAACTCCAATACTTTTCACTTATTTAACAATTCAACATTTTTTATTTTGGAAATTTCACACTTTGGTAAATTTATATTTTCGACATTTTGGGCTTTGGAACTTTTGTACTGTAGAAAAATAAATTTTGGATCTTTTCATTTTGGAACTTTTTTCTTGGAATTTTTCGATTGGAACTTCCGTTTTGGAACTTTTGTACCCCAATCTTAAGAAACTCGTATTGGTTACGTAGTAATACTGCCACTTCATTAATTTGATGTTTCTCAGTATTGAAATTTGTAGCTTTAAATAATTTCCGGCATGTTTCACGTATAATATAAGCCTTTTGCTTTTCATTTAGGTCGACCTTAGCTTTTGTTAATTTTTCGAGCTTATTTGGAAATTTAAGTGGAATCAAAGATTTGAGATTTAACTGCAAAATAAAATACAGTAGCACGGCTTTAAATATAGTTTAGATATGAGCTCTGAATTGCAATTTTTATTGTCAATAAATTAATTGTAATCATTGCGTAAAATAAATTTCGAAATGGAACAAATTTATGTTTGTTCGTTTAAATAAAATGAATCAGTATTTTAAATTAACATTACTTACTGCATCATTTTCTTTTTTCTTCAGAACTATGTCATTGCTTCTCATCTTCACTCCAGAATTATGTGCCTGAATGATGATTCCCTGCTTGTAAAATGACGAAGGAACTTCAACTCTTTTTTCATTGTTAGAAGTGGAAGCCGGCAAATTCATGTCAGATGAGAGGTTCATATTTTGAGATTCATCAAGGACGTTTTCTTTTTCAGTACCACATTGAACAGAAAATACTTCAATATTTTAAGATAAACTATCCGTAAGACTTGAGATTTTTTTGTGCTTGATTGGCAAGCAGCCACAATATGAGCATGAAAGTCCGAGTCCCGTTGTCATCTCTTACCCGTCACAATCCTAACAAATATCACATCTCCCTCTCTTAATACCCTTCGAGTCTATCACATAAGCCATTTTAATGTATTTGAAGAGTTTTTTCAAATATTGACAAGAATTTTACGAGGTTATATTGCCATCGCACGAATATAAAACTGCAACAAAGTTTGTTGCCATTGACACAGGGTTGGGAACGTATAATATTAAAAGATGGTATTCAAGAGCTTTTAGAATGCAGTCCCATGATGGTAGACAATTTTGACCAATCAGAGGACTACATTTTGTTAACACTTTTTCTGATTGGTCTAAATTAATACAATATTCCACTCTAGTCTTTCAATATAAGGTTAAGTTCACAATAGACAAATATAACTTTGAGCATTAAAATATATTTTTCAATTGTGAACTCAACCAGAAGGATTCAAATATATTTATGTCCTTTTAAACACATGATTTGCGTTTGCGAATGAATTTTAAGAAGCAACTTGACAATTACTGTAGATTTAATAAGATATATTTTCAATTTTTTTTGCTTTTTCCTCGGATTTCAAATAAATATTTTGGTATTTTAAAGATAGTCAAAGTTTGAAGTAACGAATTCCAATGTGGAAAGTGAATATAGTTCAATGAAAATATTTAACCTCAAAAATTGTAAATAATTTAAATAAATGAGTAAAATGTGAATTTAATTTTTTTTGAAGATTTATTTAATGTTAAAGATTAAAGATACCCTTTACAATAAAATTTCAAATATGTTTTAAAATAATTTTAAACAATATTTAAAAATTAATTTGACACATAATGAATAAAATACATGAATAAAATTGATTGATTTAAAATTGAATTTAAAATCTATGAATAAAATTTAAGATTTGATTTAAGATTTTTAGAATTTCAATTTTTAAAGTAAAGCTTATATAGAAATAATACAATATGTTACAAAAATTTCGTTATGTTAGTAAATTATATAAATTTTTTTTAAATTCATAGTAAAGATGCCATTTGGTTATATTGAACGCGATAAATAATTTTGTCTTTGAAATTGGCTCCGTCGTTCAGCTTCGAAAATATAATTTTTCTATAGAACTACAAAACAATAATTTCCAAAGGTTTTAGGTTCAAATAGTTATTAAATATGTTATACACATAAAGTTACATGTTATACTTTATTATAAAAGAAATTTTTTCACGGCTTTTTCAATGCTTTGTTATATGTCGTAATTTATTTTAGTAATGGGTAAAAGTGCTAGAAAAATAGTAAATAATAGTATTTTTTAAAAAGTCGCAATAATTAACATACTATATTACAATACACGAAGATGACAGTGCTTATTTAATTTTCATTCACGATCAATGTAGATTACCCAAAGCTTTTTTTACAATGATTACTTTTTTTCCTCTACATTGATGTGCATGAAACACTTTGTGAGATAACACGTCCGATGTGGAAATAAGAATGAATTCATCAGTAATTTCTATTTCATATGCCATTAAAGACATATCATGGTGAACAGTTACAATTTTTTTGCATACAAATATAGGAACGTTATTTTCAAGGACAATAGTATGTAAAGAGGCAAATTCTGGCAAATTTTCTTCATTGTAACGTATAACAAGGAAACACTTCTGAGAAACATATTTGATTCCGTTAATTTTTACCCATGACGAAGTAACCAGATTTATTTCATTCGGAAACAAGTGACTGAAAGTTAGAATTGGAGCATATACTCTTTCTTTTGGGCCGTATTCAAGATTGTTTTTAAAATTTTCTCTCAAAACTGCAGCTTGAAATAGTTGGTGTCTTCGAGCTAATGTAATAGGCAAATTTTTGAAAGTTCGTGCACATTGCGAATATCTCTTGAACCACTGATGCTTTGATTCTGGCCTTAAAGACGAGTACTGAATAAGGGGTCCAAATTCCATTATCAATCGAGGACGATGTGTCAGAAAGTGTTGTTTAGGTGTTAAAGGTAGTTTGTAAATTGATTTGAAGTCCTCCAAGTATTCTGTTATACAACAGCTCAAATAATTTAATGACCGCACACTTATTTCATTAGCGAAGGAAATATTTATTATTTCCAACATTTTAATGAAATGTTTGAAGTGTCTGAATCCTTCTATTTCTGGAACGGCATCTAAAAGTATTAGTGGCATCATTCCTAGTAATTGCCACATTTGTGCTGAATTTTGTTTCAATTTGTGTTTTGGATCTGTTAAGTGAACTTCTTTAATTAGAGAAGGTTTTGAACATTTTTCCGAGTAACCGTAGTCATAGTTTTGAATCCGTTCATTTAAATCTTTAAGGCTAATTAGCTTTTGTATTAAACATATTTCTTTTAAAAAGTTTTTTATGGTGACAATACCATGGCCTAGTAAATCGTCATGTGCTAAATCTGGTGGCGTAGAAGTTGTCACATGAAATCCACACAATTGATTTAACACACATCTTTCATTTATGCCGAATGCAGTACTTAATACATTTCTATCAGGCTCAACTGCATTTTCTATTAAAGAAACTTGATGATCAAATTCTAATGAATTTCTCAAAACATTCGCGTCTTCCTTTGTCCATGATCTTACTTCTTCAAGCGATGCATTACAATATCTACACGGGTGAGTTGAAGTAAATGACAGTTTTAAGCCGCAGCATTCGTGTATGGCAAGGTTGTCCCCAATTAAAGTTGAAATAGTAACATAAACTGTTGTACCATCAGAAAGCTTAATTCCTTTTTCAATTTCTTTGAAATTATTAAAGAATATAATTTAATATAGTTTGCACCCCATACTTTTTAACAGTAGAATTTCGAACGATTGCAGTTAAATTAATATATTTAGTAGAGTTGTGCAAAAAGCTCGATCGAGTATTTCAAGCTTTTCGTTTTTCTAGCAGAGCTGAGCAGAATCAATCCAAACTTGAACCAAATTCCATCCGACACGTGCAGTATTAAACCTAAAATAATTTCGAGCACTCAAACATTTTTGAGTAACTAAAACTCGAGCCTGGCTCGAGTATCGAGACCGGCTCGAGCTCGACCATGCTATTCGAGCTTTTTGCACACCTCTAATATTTAGTGAGAGAACTAAAAGCTGGAGACATATCTTCGAACATCCAATAAAACATGCCAAATTTTTGTTCTCCACTGGATTTCGAACCTGCAACATCGCACATGTCTACCTCGTCATAATATAATTTTAAAAGCAATGATTTAGGATGTTTTAATCGATAAGGATGTTCCAAACATTGACGACCATCTGCATAGGATACTAACACATCATCTGTGCATTTTTTTCTTAAGCAAAGAATATTATTTAAAGTTTCGTTTGACATCCACTGTTTTACAACACTTCCTATAGGAATATGTATGAACTCGTAAATTTTTAATTTCAATTTCTGACCTCCTTCATTAGTAGCGCTAAGAAAAGGTGCAAAATTTCTGCTTAATTTTACTCTGTATGGTTGCACAACTCCAAATTTTTTTTCAAAATATTTATTTTGATTGTTAATAGTGTTCAATCCTTGAGTACAATCGATGTTATTAATAGTATCCTCAATTGAAATGGGGTCTGTAAGACGAAAACCGGCTTCTTCAAATATTATAGAGTTTACTTTGCGTAAGTAGTTTCCCAAGTACTTCCTTCTGTGGATTATCAGGAACATCGTCAACAAAATTGGGCATGTCATTCTCAATATCTCCGTCAGAATTAACGTCCAAATCATCATCATCATCTTGATCATCATTTCCTGAATCATCCTCATCTTCTTGTCCATCATCACCTTCCGGATCATCGTCATTATCTGGATCATCATCACCTGGATCGTCATGTGGGTAATAATTTTCATCGCTGAGATTATCGTCGAAATTATCACAAGTGGGATTACTATTTCCAAGATCACCATCATCATCATCATCATCTATGAAATCAAAATCAAGATCAGCTGAGTTATGTCTCTCACCACCAAGTGCTCTGTTTCTTCTCGAATATCCTAGAAGAATTTCGTAATTTTGATTAAGAATATTTTATTATTTTATTATACATAATAAAAATTATATTTCCCATGCAAAAATTTTGATTAACTTTAATATGCAGACTTTTACAAAAAAATATTAATATCTACTATTATTAATTATTAATATAAATATTTATATATTTATCACAATTAATCGATAAAACAAAATATTAAATTTAAAGAAGGACAATATGAATTTTAATTAGCATTTAAAAATTATTATTATTCATTTTGCTTTGTGCCAAGTACCACGGATGTTATTTTACTTTTAAAAAATCTTAAGTTGTAATAAAAAAAATTTAAATGACAATTTTTATAATAAGCAGATAAAATTTTTACTTTGTCAATTTTAATAAGTATAGAGGTTTCAAATGAATATTAAGTACAATTTTCTGTCGATAAGAAACGGTTTGGATGACATAACCTTAAATTTGATAAATGTTTTTATTATTAGATCAAATCAAAATAATGTATTTGTATTTACAAAAATGAAAACCAAAAATTGTGTACTGCAATACATGATCGTCTACATTTATGTGGACACTAAATTATAGCATAGTAAACATTAAAAGAAATCGTGAATTATGGGGTAACAGTTTATATTTTATAAGTTACTTAATACTTTCTAATGTAATTGACAAACATTTTTTATAAAAAATATAATAATGCATTTCTTATTCAAATTAAACTTACCACGTAAATACTCTATCGGATTATTTAAAATTGACCATCCAAAAAGTAAAGATAATTGTTGTGTACAAAGTGTATTTCCGTAAACACTGCAAAATGAAACTAGAATTAATTCTAACCTTAAAATCATTAATATTGTTTGTATTCAATAAAATGATGATTATTATTTCAAAGTACCTGTTCTTCATACTTTCTTTAAAATTTACCAATTTCAATTTTCGTAATAATGTTTTAGATGTAAAGGTACAGTTCCATATCAGCGTGAAACGGAAAACGTTCAACCAATAAGAATTTTCTTTTAGAATGATTTCCATTGAATCGAAAGTTGTTATTGGCAAAACGTTTTTCGTTTCCCGTTTTCACGCTGAAATGGGACTGGTTTTTAAACATAAGTGAAAAAAACGTTTTATTTTTTGTTGAAAGAAATATTTCATTAAAAATGACAACTGCTACAATAAAATTATAAACATAACCATATTTAATATGTTAATTTTATGAATTTGAATGTAAATAAAAACCGTAAATAAATAATACCAAAAATACATGCATTAAATAAAGTTATAACTTTAAAATATGTCACTCTTATTTATTAAATACAATTTTATTACTATTATACTACAAATTTTTTATAGTAAAAATCTTTTACTATTAAATTATACTTACCCGATAAGCATGGAGAAAATTATTTAATTAAATCTTATAAACACACACATATTATGTTTATATAATCTATATAATATGTCAACAAAACAACAAGAATTCAACAATATTTTACGGGCATGAAATAAGAAAATTAAAGAATTCACTCATGTTTCAAAATTATCAGGTATAAAATTTGTCCACACTGTTGATGCTTGCACGCAAACTATATAAAATGCGATATCCACATGATTTCGAGAATAGCAGAGGACATAACAGCCAAGTTGTGACAGTACCTTTAGTGTTTAAATGTTTCAGTGAAATCTTATGACTTTATATTTCATAACTAAAAAAACATCAACAGATATGATCACTTACTTTACAATTATTATTAGTGTCTGAGATATTTGTATTTCAAAAAACATATATATTTAATATAGTGAAGATATGAAATAAAAAATAATTTGTTTGTTACTAATTAAATCTTCACTAAAATATTAAATATACACAATTACATTTGTAATTTATGTACAGATATAGAAACAAAGCAGACGACAATTTTTTCTTCATCGTAGATGAAACATTAAAAATTTTCCTGGTTTTTAGGTAAAATTTAGCTTTCGTAGTGAACTTTTGTTGCAGGTAATTTTTATCCTTAAAACGGGGTAAATTTTAACATTTTTTTTCCTGTGAAGAAATATCTACAAAAATATTAAAAAATAATTTTTTTTCCATAAGTGTTTTGTTTTTCTCAATTCTACTAATTTAGACAAAAAGAAAATGTCAATGTTCAATATATTTATTATTATATTTTACTAGAAAAATTACTTTTTATTAGAGATGTGCAAAAAGCTCGAATTTCCGAGTCGAGCCGAGCCGAAATTTTTTCAAACCGAGCCAAGCCGAGCCCAAGCCGGCTCGATGTATCGAGTACTCGAAAATTTCAAGTACTCGAGTGACTTCGAGTACTCAAAAAATCGAGTACTCGAATGGATTCGAGCTTTTAAATCACAAAAAAAACTATTAATAAGTAGAAACTTTCGAATTTATGCGAATTAAAGTCAATAAATTTTCAATTTCAAAGTGGTTTCAATTTGGTAATTATAATTATATTATATTATATTATATTATATTATATTATATTATATTATATTATATTATATTATTATATACGATTTTTCTCTAGAACTCGAATTTACTTAAGAGCTCGAAAAAATTCGAGTGCTCGAAATTATTCGAGCTTTTTGTACGGCTCGGCTCGAACTCGGCTCGAGCTCGAACTAATTAGGCTCGACTTGGCTCGGCTCGAAAAATGAAAACCTCGAAAAAACTCGATCGAGCCTCGAGCTTCGAGCTTTTTGCACATCTCTACTTTTTATATGGGTGATTCTCCAAAAACCGGTCACTTTTAAGTTGATAAAAATTTTTTTTAATGTTTAAAAATTGAACTTTCTTTTATTAATTACTGTTCATTGGTATTTAAATAAACTATATTTGAAGTAGGTACGCTACAAAACTATTTAAAGTTTAAAAATAATATTTAAATTATTTAAATTTCACCAGGATTATTTTGAATTTTTTCACGTCGCTCTTTTTCGACATTTGCTTTTTTCTGTTTGTTTAATTATTCTTTTATGTTAGACAATCCATATCAACTATATTTATTTTAAATTACATTTATTAATAAACATTAGTTTTCGTGTAATTAGCACTTTTCGCGCAATTGAAATGAGATGTGAAAAGTAAACAGGAAAACTAACCTCATCAGAGGCGTATCATCGAGGGGCAATGAAATTCATATTTCTTCCATATAGGTATTATTAATTGAATTAAATGATTTAGTTTTATCATTTTTAAAATTATATTTAAAAATATATGAAAAGATTAGATAAATTTCAACTTTATTACCTATTTTAAAAAAAGTTTTAGGCACGGGCACACTTTTTACTTGTTTCGCACCTACCACGTGCAAATGTTTTGACACGACAAAGGACTCCACGACAATGGAAATTTGTAAGAAATCCATTAATACATATTTTAAACAAAAGTAAATAAAAAAATGGCTAGGTATACACTTTTGTCCTACCAAACTGTAAGTTTTCATCCGTTTTTTATTGATATTTATATTGAAATATTAAAGTTATGACAGCGCACGACAAAAGAATGAATAAAAATACGCAGTGTTTTTCTAGTGTTTTTTCTTAAAAATATGAAAAATATAATTTATTTTCCAATTTCTCTTGGAGATTTAAAAAGTGACATGTTTTTTCTTTAATTTCCAATTGATTTTTATATAAAAAGTGCACGTCTTATAGTTTATTTATACACGTTTATCCTTTGTCGTGCCAGAATGGAGATTTTTAAAGACACTTATATTTTAATAATTATCAATAACTATATTGATGTATTAAAAAATTTCATTGATAAAAATTGAAGCTTTTGAGTTAATCTTTCATAATATTTACTGAATAATTAAAGATAGTTCTTTTTTTATAAGTAATAGTACTTTAAAGTTTGGTACTCAGAGGTAAAGACATATTGAATTGCTGTTTTCCAGCTGTTAAATGTTGTTTTCCACTAAATTTGTGTTAAAAAATTATCGTTTTTTATAAAGGGTATAATAAGTGATGTTTAAATAATATGTTTGTCCAATGTTAATATTTAAATGTTAAGTTTTTTAGAAGATATAATTCAAAGACATGAAATTGCCCACTTTCAGGAGAATCACCCATATATGAAATAGTAGTGGGGACTGATTACACCATGACGTTTTGGCACCTTAAAACAGATTTTTAAGTAAGATTATAAACTTTTAAATGAAAACGACTATTAGAATATATGAAACTGATTTCTTAAAAAACATGAGGGACATTAAATTGTGCGCTACGCGGAGAATCACCCAGACATAAAATTCGTAATTAAAGACCCCAAAAACCCCGAAATGACGAATTTTAAACAAAGCCGTTTAATTTATAATTTTTGAGTCTGACATTTTAGATTCGCCATTTTGAGTTTTGAGAAGATGACATCAAATTCGTCATCAGCGATCCCAAAAACCCCTTTATGGTGAGTTTGAACAAAAATTATAAATTTTTTTTATTTTGGGCGCCATATTGGATTTGCCATCTTTAATTTTGGGGAATAATATGGAATTTTGTAAATTTCTCATATAATTTAATGTTGTAGGCCCTGTAGAATTTTGAAAATTGGGTTTTTGTTCGTTTTTACCATGAAAAAGAATAAGTCATAGTGCATTCTGTCGTTAAATTCTCTATAGTTCATTTGAAAATTAATATTTCAAAAAGGGCTCAACACCATTGAAAAGCTGACATTTTTACCTTTAATTTGAACTATTATAATAAATTTTTGGATCAAATTTGAAATGGAGAGGAGGGGTGGCCCACTTGAGAAAGAATGCCTCATAGATATAAAAATATTTAATTCTGCAGTCAATTTGTTTTTACAAATTTACTAGTATTATTAGTTATCTTGTTTCAATATTAAAATTAACACTGATGTGTTAGTTTCTTGTCATTTCTTTTCGTGGCACTTCATAAATTCTATTATGAATTTGAACTCTCATGCGAGCGTGGTATAGTGGTTAGTGTATTTGATTTCGGTGCGATATAATGTTAGATAGGTGTAGGTTTGAATCCCCAAGCGTTAGAAATTTTAAGTTAATATAAATAAAATTGCGATAGGTAAATCGAAAAAATATGTTGAATGTACCATAAAGTAATAATAATTAATATGTGTAACTTGTATAATTATTTTTTTATTAACATTCACTAAATTTTCTGGACTAATTTTTTACTGTTTCGGACTAATTCCTGATTCACTAGTTAAAATTAACTGATTAGTTTCGGACAACATCGGACCAACTCCGGATTCACTAGTTGTTCACAAACCGTATAGAGTTCGGATTTTTCCGGATTAATTTCGGGTGACAAAAACCTGACCATAAACCGCATTGTTTCGGACAAATTCCGGATTAGTCCGAAATCTGTCCGGTTTTTTAACAGCCAACCATGCCAATGAGTAGAGATAAATGATATTGCCGCAATTAGCAAGAATTAACAGAACTAAAAGCAATAAAAAAAATTATATATATATCAAGGCAAATATTAAAAATAAATCTATTTTTACCAGTAAGTGACGTTGAATAAAGTATCATTAGTTTTAAACAACAACTCAAAAAACAATTTTTTTAAAATACAATGTTTTGACGCATCTCTTATTGTTTGTGGTATTTTGTTCCACAGTCTAGATCCTCTGACTGTGTATGACCCCTGCATTTTACAAGTCCTATGAAACGGTATTTTAAGGACGGATCTTCTATCACGAAGTTTATTAAAAACTGCATCATCAAATACCCTAAACTCAAAAAGATCAAACAGATAACTCGGAGTTTTATGTTGAAAAATATTATAAAGTAAGTTTCCAATAAAAAACTGTCTCCTCATAGCAACATTCAAAAGTCCAGATTTAATTCTGAATTCAGTAATATGTTCATTCTTCGGTAGATTATATATAAAACGAATACAAGCATTTAAGGCTCTTTCAAGTTTATTATTCAGCTCTCCTGAGATATCGTCATAAGCCACACAACAATAATAATCAAAGAAGGGCAGAATCAATGACCTGACAAGAAGTAACCGGGTTGGAGTAGGGAGAGAATCCTTTTTCCTATTTAATTGCTGAAGAACCATGTATGTCTTGCTCGAAATGCCATGAGAGACATGGTCCCTCTATGATAAAGTACGATCCAATGTCAGACCAAGATCCTTGACAGTCTTACCAAATAAAATGGGAGTTCCTTCAACCAGTAGGGGGGAGAGATGATAAGAAATCCAATGAAAAGTTAGTAGCAGAAAAGATTATCACCTGCGTCTTATTAGGATTAAGACGCAAGCTATTCCATACTGCCCACTGTTCAACAATCTTAATGTCGTATTGAATATTTTTAAGCAAGTTTGCAATATCAGATAAAGGACCAGAAAGATAAAATTTAACCCTTTAAGGCCCGACTTTTTTTAAGTGATGCGATTTTCGTCATACTCTATACTCAA